TTTTTTTTGGGGCCCAAACCCCCGCCCGGTGGGCCGTTTGAAAGTGTTTTTTTTTTTTTTGGGGGTGTTTTTGGTTGGGTTCAACCGGAATTTGGACCTTTTTTTTGGCGTCCGGAGCCCCCCCCCCCCCCCCATACATCCTCCACCAATCCCATTCGGTTTGGGTTCGGAATTTTGAGCGGGGCTTGATTGAAATGATCCGACTTTCTCTGTGTGTTCCGACTATTTTATTTGTAGTGTAGAACGCGTTTTTTGTGACTGTGTCGGCAGTAATATGCCTACCATGAGCTATCGCGGCGATTTGTGAAGGCCTCCTCCCACACGTGTTGGCTGCTCGCCCTCCCCCGTCCCTACACGCGGCCATGTGGATTTTTTTTTTTTCCGTGAGTGTCGACCATAGCGGGGGAGGAACGAACATGGAGAGGTAAGGTCGGCGAGATTATTAGAACGGGGGCCGCGGTTTTGTTTTTTTTGTGTGCGTCGAAGTTTTGCGAATAGCGCTCAACTTCGCCCCCGGTTGTGTTTTTGTTGGTTCGTGTTCCTATAAGTCTGACGGGTTACTCCCTGGCGTGAGGTTGAACGATGATTCGATGAGCCCTCCCACCCTCCGCGGCATTGCATGCACAAGAGTAAAAACACACGCACGCCCAGGATTGGAATTAAGTACCGCAGGAGGATGCCACGCAGTGGTCTCTCTTGTGTCTACTTTTCTGAGCACATGTACTCTGACTCCGAAGACAAGACCCCCCCCCCCCGCTTGTCACCCGGTTTCTTCCGCGGACCCCGCCATGTCGAGGGGGCCCGCGGACTAGAAAAAGTTACCCGCAGTTTTCTGATTGGTCACATCGTCCCGCTAAAAAAAGACTGTTATTTTCGTTGGTCAACCGGTTGAATTGGGGGGGCCGATGCTAATCGATTATCAAAGAGAGCCACCGGTAGACCCGGGCCGGATTATTGTAGATGACCGATTTTGCAAGTGTAATTTCGTCGACACGGTGAAACATGATTTCGAGCGAACTCACTCTTGCCGAGGCAAGAACAGAGCAACCGATGGGAGCACAGCAGTCAAATGCCGGTTTTCGGGTTCAGCTGCGACTGACAATTGTCATCGAAACGCGTTTTTTTTGGCGGACACGTTGTTGTTGCTGACTGACCATCTCTCACTTGGTTTTCGATTGGATCGCCTTTCCTCGCTCATTGGCTACAGTAGAACCGAGTCATTTTGTCTTCGATGGACGTCTCGAGATATCTCTTCTCGCATCGCAGCGGGGTTGGGGGGGGGGGGATGGGCAGTGGAGTTCACGACGACGAGGCCGGGGTACCCCTGACTGGAAGACAAGGCCACAGGGTTTCTTGACTGACTTGGGAGAGGGGAACGGATCGAATACACACAAACACACAATTAACAAGTGGCACCAGCAGCAGGGGGAGGACACCAAACGTACCGCGCAGGACGACAGGTCGGGCATACAATTTTACCACGAAAAAACCAAGAAAAAAGAAAAAAGCGTACGAGGCTATGTACCGTCTGTCTGTGTGGACCTTACATACAGCAGTATCCTTCGTGACCCCGGCTGGTCGGAAACGTACACCGAAACAATCTAGACTGGCGCCAATCAATGTCCAAATAGACTGACTGGCGCCATAACGGATGGGATGAACACACAACACACCGACCGTCGCGTCTTCGATCACCTCGGACAGGGTCAGGAGTCTTCCTCTCCCCACGCAAGCCCCACGCACAAATAAAGTTTTCTTCCATTCCATTTTCTTGACGGGAGGGAGCAGGCGGCGTTCGCCCCGTTGCTGTCGCCTTGCACATAACAAAGCAGGCCTTTCCCTCTTCCCTGCGGGAAACGAACGAACAACTGCCGTGTTTCCGTCGGTTAATGATCGAAAACTATCCTGCTGCACACCAAAATACAACTACAAGTATGGATAGGAAATCCGAGAAGGTTCTCAACACTCGCCAAGATCCGTTCTTCGGAACCCCATCTCTGTCTTTGGACGCCAACCAGATGATACGTTGTTTTTTGGTCCAGCGGTCTCTCTTCCTTTCCGACTCTGTCCCTCCCTCCCTCCCTGTCGTCTCTCCCCTCGCTGAACTGTTAGATTAGTACAACAGTACTTCCTTCGGACTAAGCCAAGCAAACGAAACTACGGACGAAGCCAAGCAAGACGCTTCACTAACAACTCAGTTCTCTTAAAAACTCAACAACAAGACCACCATCATTCATCATCATCCGTCATCGACAGGACGGAACAAGATCGATACGCCTTTATTTTCAAAACGCAACAACAACGCAACAAAAAATCGAATCTACTGTAATCTAATAGGTATATGAAAGACTAAAATATAAATATTTGTGGTACAACGTTAAAAATAGAAAAAAAGAAGAAAACGTTGAAGCGAGCGGAATCGTCTGTATCCTAGAAGTGGTCCATTGCTACAGGCACCCCCCCGGCAATCC